GGCGACCACCGCCCCCCCGGGCAGCCACGTCCCCCCCAGCCCCTCCGCTGCCCCCCACAACCTGGCCCTTGCGGACCCGGCAGGAGACCTTGCAGTGCCCGAGGAGGTGCCTCTCCAGGAGGCCCTTCGGCTCTTTGGTTGCTGCCTGGACGCGGTGGGGGTCAGCCAGCATAGTCCTGGCAGCGTCCTCATGCCTGGGGACCTTGGTGGCACTGGCGGCGCAGCCATTCCCCACTGCGACTTCGCCTCGCTCTCGCTGCCTGAGGAGCTGCTCACCGCCGACTACAGCGTCCCGGAGGCCACTGACGCCATCCTGAGCCTCGACGCGTTCTACACCATCGGGATGGGGCCCCAGGAGCCGTGGTGGGATGCGGCAATGGACCTGCCACCGTCCCAGCCTGCCATGCTAGAAAAGCAGGGCAAGAAGCGGGAGAAGAGCACCTTCCCAATTCCACCGGGCAAGCGCAGGGCTCTCGACACCAGCACGGGGGTGGGAGGGGGGGATTAGGGCCAGCGCGTGGCTGAGGTGGCTCTAATGAGTGGTGAGGGGGAGTGGGGGGTGGGGGAGGGTTATGGAAGCTTTGATGGCACCTTTGCTCTTGGTTTTATTTAATTAAAAGCCATTTTTCCAGAACCGCTCCGGGCCTGTGAGGAAGGGGGAGGGAGCATCGGGAAAAGGCACCCAAGGGCTGCAAAAGCCCCGCTGAGCCCCAAATCAGAGGCGGCGAGCCCCAAAGGGCACCAAGCCACACCCAGGGACCGGTCACCACCAGCGGGGCAGGCAATGGCAGGGGGGTGACTCCCCTGTCCCCTTCCTCAGGCCAAGCAGACCTTTGGTGGGGGAGCCAGGACAGACGAGTCCCTGCAGGACTCACGGACACGGCCCCAACGCAGAAAGCAGCACGGAGCCCCTGGGACAAGGACAGACCTTGGTGGCCAGGGCGGGAACAGACATGCATGACAACAAGGACTGCAAGGCCTTCGCCTTGAGCACAAGCAGCGGCCCTTCCAGCGGGGACAGGGCTCGCTGCAAAGCCCTTCAAAGCCTCAAGACAATCATGCCCTACCCCGCGTCCCACCACGCTCAGCTCGGGAGCCTGGCTTTGCCTCACTGCTGCGGAAAAATAACCCCAAATCACCCCAAGAACGGTGAGGGAGGGAGCTGCAGGCCAGGCCCCCTCCCCGTGTCTGGCTGCACCTTGGGCAGCTGCAAGACCAGCAACGGGGGAAAAAAATAATAATCAAAAAATCACTGCACTTCGCAGCCAGAAAGTACCTGGACACCTCACCTCTCTTTACTGCCCGTTTCCCACCTGAGCGCCACCACCGGGGCCAGTGCAGCCAATGGCACCTTCGAGAAGCGGCCTCACCTTTCCGGGTCCCGGACACGGTTAAGGACAGCTGTTAAGGACAGGTCCCTCTTTCCACACCCTCTGGCAAGCAGACCCAATTCGACGCTCAGCACGTGAGCGGTGCTGCAAGCCCTGCTCTAGGTACCCCCAGGGCACCCGTCCTGCTGCTCAGCGCTCTAAGGATGCTCTGCCCTTCCAGCGCTTCCCCAGGAGCAGGTGAAGAAGTCACTGCCCACCACAGCCTACGCAAGTCCAGCAGATGCTGCCACAGGCAAGCCAGGGCTAGATCAGCCCTCGGCAGGGGCCACAACAAAATTTCCCAGGGCCAGAAAGAAAGAGTGGGAAAAGGCACCCTGCGAGAGGGTGAGGGGCACCTGAAGCCTCCAGCCCCGAGCTGGCTGGAGCAGGGCTGGAGCTGGCTTGGGAAGAGTGGCGCCTGCCCTCCCTGCTGCCTTCCCTCTGCCCCAGGAGCTCAGCCGCCTTAGGAGGAAGGAGCTGTGGTACTTGGCGCAGGACCTGCGCTGGGTCGGGCACGGCAGCACAAATTCCAGGCAGCCAGGGCTGAGAGCAACTGCAAGTGGTGAGCAGGGCTGGGGAGCCTCAGGGGGGCTCCGGGAGTCGGGGTGCCCGGTGCCTGGGGTGGGGACAGGGGCCTGCCTTCATCTCCTTCCCCTCCGTAGCTCTCAGGTCGCTCCCGGGGCTGCCCCATACAGGCCTGACTCCAGCAGACCAGGAGCACGTCGCGCCGGGCGGTATGGAGCTCCCCCCGCCGCCCACACATGGTCAGCGGGCAGGAGGCACCCCCCACGCCCACCCAAGGGCCTCACCTGCCTCACGGGTAGCCCCAGCCCTCACTGGGAAACACGCCCGGCGCCACCGTGCTGCTCCCGGGCGCTGCCCATGCCGTGCTGCTAGTACGCACGTGCGGAGCTAGTGCCGCAGGAGCAAAG